TGCTGGCTCTCTTCCTGCGGAGACTTTGCTGAGGTCTACCACTCTCTGCCCCTCCCCTGATGTGCACAGACTATGAAGATGAGGAGGAGTGGAGCCCATGGTCCCCTTGCAGCATCACATGTGGCAGTGGCAACCAGAAGAGGACCCGGTCCTGTGGCTACGCCTGCACAGCAACAGAGTCGAGGACCTGCGACCTGCCACGCTGCCCTGGTGAGCCCTCAACCATTCCAGTCTGACCCCGATGTGGGCTGGTGGGCTGGGCATTGCTCATGCTTCCAGAACTAGTTAGGTTTAATGAGATCTGGGCTAATGACTGCGGGCGTTTGTTTCCACGACGAAGCTCTGATGGGGCTTCATGGCTCCCCAGGCAGTTACGTGGTGCCCAAGGGTGGTAGAGTTGGTGTCCAGCTTGATGTGCGACTCCTTGCACCTCCCTCACACTGGGAGCTTGAAATGCTCTCCTAAGGCATGTCGAGAGATGTCTTCACCCCCTCAGGTTTGCATGACCCACAGCTTTGGGTGGGTCTGTCCTGTGTGTCTTGCTGCTGGCCCTTTCTTTCAGGCACAGGGCCATGTCAGCAAAGCAGTGGCAGGGAAAGGGATGGAAAATGGATGGTGCCTCGTGCCCTTATGGAGGAAAAAAACCCCACCACTCCTCCTGGTGTTCAACCTGGCTCTTCATTTGTTGGTTTTTTTTCCCCTCTCAAGGAGCAGAGGGGGAAATGGTGTTCCCCACAGAGGAGATGCCTTTCAAAAGCGACAACACCACAGAGCTGTTCAACTCAGGTCAGCCTCTGCCTCTGCCTTGCGCTGGGGACTTTGGTGCCAGGCCCCACGGGGGTGTAGCTGGCTGGTGGGGAGGGCTCTGCCAAGGGCTCCCACATCTGGTGTCAACACCCAAGTCACCCAAACCACTGCCATGTGCAGGCTTCAGCGGTCATGCTGAGAAACCCAGTTCCTCTCCCACAGCCCTGGTACAACAATAGTCCTGCCTGCCACGTGCCCTCTCCCTAGCCCTTGTAGCGATGGGTGCCCCGTCCTCACAGGGGCTCTGCCCCAGCACGAATCCCCTTCCCCATGTCACTGCCTCTGAGATGGAGCCTGGATGCTCCTACCTGGTGGTTGCAGGCACCACTGAGGGCTCTGGCATTGGGCAAATGCCAGCTGGGTAAAGTAGGGTGCGGGCTGCGCGGGTCCTCACCCTTTCGGGGCCCTCCCCTGCAGAGGCGGAC